TCACTTTTCTGAAAAGACGAGACGTGATATTGCTTATTGCTCTGCCACATTCTTATTCCATCCCCCAAGGCTAGGTACTTATTACAACTAAAGAACACGTGTCAATATGTGAGTGGCCTATGCTCCGACCACCGGATAAGAAGAATCAAGAACCATAAAGACAAACGAATGTTCTACACCAACATGCACAACTGAATGTCGCTTCAATAATGTTTTAACAAACCGTTTTCTTAATACGGATGATGAAATGTTTCAAGTGAACAAAAGATGTTTTAGACTTTGGTTCTAAAAAAAATAAAACACTCTACTACATGAAAAGAAAAGACAACGATACAAAGATGAATTAACCAAACTAAAACTATTGAAAATGAACAAATACGGGAACAAAGATTAAAAACCAAAGACCATCAACAACAGACTTCTTCTCACTAAAACACACAAAACAAATATTGTTCTAAAAATTGCTCATGCATCAATTGGTTGGGTTGCTACGGAATGAAGCTATGGCTTTGATTGCTGCAGCTCTCAAGATGTATTGATGATATGCTGCTGCTGCTAATGCTCCCACAAACGGTCCCACCCAGAAAATCCACTTCAAAGTTCAAATCCATGGATTAACTCAAAGTTTATTAACAATATTCACAAAAACTAATTCATTTGATTAATGTAGACTTGAGTTAATAATAATTATGCATTGACTACTTACATGGTCGTCCCAAGCTTTCTCATTGTTGTAGATAACAGCAGTACCAAAGCTTCTTGCTGGATTAATCCCAGTTCCAGTAATGGGAATAGTTGCCAAATGCACCATGAAGACAGCAAACCCAATAGGCAACGGAGCCAAAACCTATAATAATTCAATAATTTAAACTTTGTTAGATATTCACAAAGCAAGCCATAAATCTATGAAAAAAATTCAAAACATTTAAATTTGTTTGAAATTACACAAACCTATTTTGAAAATCTATGAGAGATATTCTAAAAATTTTGTTAGCAATTACACAAACCCATTTTGTAAACCTATGAAACATAGTCAAAAGGTTTCAACTTTGTCAGAAATTACACAAACCCATTATGAACAACCTATGTACAAATATTCAAAGATATTATAACTTTTTTTTGCAAACCCATTTTATGAAACCGGTTTAAAACGTTTTACTAACCGGGACGTGAGAGTCACGCGCGCTTCTCTTTGGGTCAGTGGCGGAGAAGACCGTGTAGACCAAGACGAATGTACCAAGAATCTCAGCTCCAAGAGCAGTTCCGGTACTATAACCGTCCGCAACCGTGTTTGCTCCACCTCCAAGACGCTTGTACGGAGTCATCATAAAGGCCTTAACTAGACCAACTCCACAAATAGCTCCTAAACACTGAGCCACCATGTAAGCAACCGCTCTAAGGAGCGACACTTTACGAGCTAAAAATAAACCAAACGTCACTGCCGGGTTAATGTGACCTCCTGCAATCAAAACAAGTTTCAAATATTAAATCTTGACAAAAGTATTTTAAAATTTTTGATTGGTTTAGTTGAAATATTTACCGGAGATACCGGCGGTGCAGTAAACAAGGACGAAGATCATGCCACCAAAGGCCCATGCAATACCGAGTAAACCGACACCGTTACAAGGACCGGTTTGGTTCTTGTGGCCAATGACGGTGGCTACGGTTACGTAGAGGAAAAGGAGAGTGGCTATGAACTCTGCGATGAGTGCTCTGTAGAAAGACCAGAGCTTTAGTTCAGCCATGTCTAGAAGTGGAGCTGGAGGTGGATCCACGTAGTCTTTGCCATGTCTTCCTTCTTCACTCACTTCTTTAGTCA